CCTCCGAAGGGACCTATGCCACCTCCGCCAAAGAAGAAGGCGATGCCAGTTGCTCCGAAGACTCCTCCGAAGAAGCCAGCTGAGAAGCCCAAGACTCCTGCAAAGGAAGTTGCAAAGGCAACATCTGCGAGCGAGGCTCCAAAGAGTGAGGCTGCGAAGGCACCAGTACCTGTTCCGAAGGCAATCGGGATTGAACCTCCCAAGACCCCTCCAAAGATGGCTCCAAAGACTCCGAGTGAAGCTTTTCGATCAGTTAGCCCAACTCTGGTCGATGCCGCTGCAACTCCGGCAGAGCCGAAGCCAAGTGGGGTAGTGCGGACAAAGGATTCGTCGCCCACGAAGCACCCTGAGGGATTGCCAGAGCAGACTGTTGAGGAGTGTGTGTCACCGAAGGTGAGCCCAAAGCCTCCTCCACCGCCGTTGGATAGCCCTCCTACAGCTCACCAGGAACCACCGCCTCCTCCAACTGAGATCGGATTCCCTGTGACTGGACCAGCTGAGGTACCCAAGTCTCCCGCGGTGGCGCCTGTTTTGCCGAAGTCTTCACCGGCAAGGCCGCTCATTGATTGGGGAGCACCAGCTTCAGTGGAATCGCCGATCGGTTCGACCAGCGATATCACAAGGATCATGGGATTAGGATATCAATACACTTCGACACCAATGGGCCAAACTGGAAGTTCAGTGGCCAGTTCAGGGACATCCAGACCGGTTCAATGCTGCATCGCATGCCATGGTACTGGAGTGTTGACAGCTGAGCAGAATGTGACCATCTTTTCGCTGTTGGCCTCAATGCCCCCGCGAAGTGTGATGCTAAGATGTTCAAACGAAACGTTGTCAAGAGTGACTTTTGAGTGTGACTCAGCCGTTTCAATCATCCGAGAGTCGGATCAATTCAGGTATCCTCGATATACTGTGCTAGAAGTAGCTTGTGGCAAAGAGTCAGTCATCGCCAGATCTTGTCGAGAAGTTGACTATGTTCGATACATCGGAATCCATGCAAACCTTCAGGAGATCGGTGTTCGCAATAAGGTGCTGACCCTGCTCCGTGATGGATTCAGTCGATGCCCGCATGAATCTCAGGTGGCATGTCTCGTGCACATTTCTCTTCCTTGCAAAGGCGGATCCCCTCTCTTGAATTTTTTGGGAAGGAATGAGAAGCACGAGAAAGAGTTCTTCTATCTTTTGAAGTCATCTGGAAAGTAGATGAGATCAAGTCATCTGAAGGAGTATCTGTCACTGTTTCGTTCGAACTGCCGAGAAGCAATCAGTACTGGAAGAGTCGAGATCTTCAGAATTTCTTCGAAAAGCACGGAATGGCATATCAGAGTGAATGTCATGCTTGTTCGATGGGATTGGAAACCCAGAGTGGACTTCGAATTGGCAAAATTTTCAGGATTCAGAGTTCCAACTCGTTTTTGAGTCAGCGGTTGAATTCTCGCTTTCAATGTCGTTGCGATGAGAGTCATGCACCATTCAATGCAGTTGATTACCATGATACTGAAAGGTACTCAATGAAATTTGCTCGTTTTCTTGTGAAGAGTTTTTGCATCTGTGCATCCTTGAGGTGAGAACCCAAGCTGAGCAACCGACTGGCTGAGAGCCTTTGCTTTTGTTGCTGCACAGATAGCTTGATGACACTTGCGGATGAAGCTTCCGATGATCGATGTGAAAATACGTGTGCGTGAGATGCCGCTGGAATTCAATAGCTTTTGAACTGTGATGATTCACACCTTCTAGACTGTTCGCTGTAGAGTCTGTCGAGAGTCGATGAAATTGGATCAGGTTTTTGACAAAGGTACTTCATGAATCTTGTCTCGGTCTGCGTGACCACCTTACTTCGAGAGACTTGAAACCAGTTGAACAGTGAGACTGTTTTTCAGGAAGCCGTGCTCATGTCGAAATGACCCTTGAGTCGTCCCTTCCTTCCTATCTTTTCTTTCCTTTCGGAGAACTTTTCTTCGCCGAACTTTTCCGCAGCCATTTGTGTGTGTGGGGCGTCCGCGCGGGAAGCCATGTTGTCGTTTGAGGGCAGCTGCATTGCTGCGCTGGCGTTGTATGGCGCGCTGAGTTTGCTTGTGAAGCTTTTTGGCGCTGCTGGAATGGCGAAGAGCCTTTTGGGACAGAAGAGGGTGATGGCCGATAAGCCAGAGAAGCAAGAGCCGTTGTTGAGAGAGAGAGTCTCTGCTGCTGCTTCTACAGGTGCTGCTGCGTCGAGCGCTGCTGGCCGGCCGAGTGGTGTTGAGAACACTGCAACCTCCGAGTGGACGAAGATGAATGCAGTGAACAAGGCACTTGAGGTTTTTGTGACTTCGACTGGGTCCAAATTCCACCTTGACCGTCAATGCCAATACTTGCGAGGCAAGAAAGTCACCTCTTTTGGTTTGTGTAGCTGCTGTGAGCGCAAGCGCTTACTGGAACAGCGAGTGACCACTGTCCAAAGTGGCATGTGAGCTTCGAAAGGGGGTGTGAGAATTTATAGTACTGAGGAGCGAAGACTCCATACCACTTGTTTAGAGACCGCAAAGAAAGCCATAGAGAGTTTTTGGCTTGTTTGAATGACGTTCGTTAGCTTTTGAGGACATTGAAAGATCCCTTTCAATGTTTCCCTATGCTTGTAGTTTGTGTATGAGGTGTCCGAGAACACCCGAAGATGTTTAGACTATGCTCTTAGTTGTTTCCAACTGTTTTTAGAACCTTTGTGAAGCGTAGAACTGTTTTGAGTATGGTTTTGCATGTCCACAAACGTCCCGAGAACATTTGTGAACCTTGGAGAACAATCGTCACTTTGGCTCAAGTGTGCGGCGAAAAGTGTGCGTGTCTTTTGCCTGCTTTTTCTTCCGTTTTCGACTCGGGTCGTTGAGACACTTGACTGACTAGGTGTTTTGAGCGCGAGAGCTTTTGATTTTCCGTCAGGAGTTTGTGTGTCAAACTTTCACGGTTTCCACCAGGACAACAGCCGGCTCGGCGCATGTGGCAAAATTGCTGATCAGATCTATTGAAGATCATGCTCCAATCCCCTTGCAGATATCCCCCAACAGTACTGGGTTGAGTGCAGCGGATGCTTTTGCAACGGACTCAACAGCTGGGATTGGCGGATGGTGGCTGCCCACGCATTGTCGAATGTTTGCCTGGGTGGTTCAAAGCGAGCAATGGCCCATCTTTGCAGAAGTGTATCGCAGCATTGGAAGCTCTTGCCCAATTGGTGCTTCTTTTGCTTCAAGTGCAGCAAGCAGATGTGGTGGCCAAGCATGTTGTTCTTCAGTTTTCGCAATTGTGTGATAATGCTGGTGTGACAGCGGCTTCGGCCAAGATGCTTTCGCAGAGCGAACCGTTGTGTTGGGCGCTGCAATGTTTAGGCTATTACTGCTGCAAGCACAGCGTCTCTTTGAGCTTGAGTCACATCGCTGGGATTCGCAATACATGGGCTGATACTCTCAGTCGTGGCGACATGCCATCTGGATTCTTGCCGCAAAACAGAATCTTGTTGGGGATGATTTGTCAGTTGCTGCCATTTTGCAACAGCCCTGGCGTTAGTTTGCATGCGACCACCTTCGGTTGGGGATTAGAAAGGATTGTGGTCTTTGCAATGTTGGCGCACCCTTCGGTTTGGGCTGTGTGGGCCATGCCACCCTGGAGGTGCCATCTGGGGTGGCCATGG